TGTGTGTATTTTTATTTTCCTTAGGTCCAGTGCAATCTACTTTAATCAGATGCTGATTGTTCTGGGTCTTATATGAACGGCTAATGAGAACGATTCAATTACTAAGAACAAAAGCAATAAACTGAAGATTAACAATATCATTCATGCACACTTTATCTTCAGTTTAATATGCTTACTTTGTAAAATGGTACAAAGGTATCTGGCGTACAAAAATTATACTAAAAAAGAAAATATTAATACTATTTTTTAATGTGCCATGAGTATATTTTTAATGCATTAAACATTTCACAGTCAATAGTATATTTCTATTAAACATGGAATACACTTCACATTATATTTTGTACAAATGAGAAACCCTTGCTCTAGAAAGAATTGATAATTTTATGCAGATTAATAAATAGATGATAAATAATTGCAATACAAAATAAAATCATGGAATGTCTTCCTCAAGTCTGTTGTACATAGAATCATATGTTTATGCAAACTGCAAGGTGCATAGACAAAGGAATGAATACTCTTTAACCCCTTAAGGACCAAACTTCTGGAATAAAAGGGAATTATGACATGTCACACATGTCATGTGTCCTTAAGGGGTTAAACTCCTAAGCATACAGTGGACACATTTTCCACTGGTGTACTTATTGGAAAGCAAGTAAACTCATAGAAGTTTCATTGGAAAATGCTATCAAAATAATAATGTTAATTAGTAATAGATTCCCCTAATTTCTCATTGATAGCTAACATTTAATGCAAAAATGTAAACAAAACCTGGAATATGACTATATCTGTTCAACCATAATTTACCTCTTTCATATTAAATGCGCCCACACTTAGATATAATTTTGTCCAGGAGAAACAGGGCTTTCATTTCACATCAAATATTTATATATTAAACATAATTTAATATGAATAACATTTTTTTAAAAATGTGAGAAATTAAGACATTTTGTTATTTTTTTAGTTCTGCATGGCATATGACTGTGAATGTCATATTACTGCTACCTTTTACTGCAATAAATTACACGTTTGAGTTTAGCGATATCTCATGAGTACAACAGCCTCTCCCATGTCCAGGTTTTATGGTGTTTTGGAAAGTTACAGGGTCAAATTTAGCATGTTCCATTTTTCCAGTTTAAACACATTGAAATTTGCCAGATTGGTTTGCTGGGCCTATGTAGCCTTTGATACCGTATAGCAGCCCAGGAATTAAACTTAACACCATCGTGGCATACCATTTGCAAAAGTAGGCAACCCAGAGTACTGCAAATGGGGTATGTCCAGTCTTCTTGGTAGACACCTAGTTACAAACCCTTATAAGGTTAAACTTAGTGCTCATATTTGGTTTTTTTTTTGCATTTTTCACAAAAAGCTGCCTTTTCACTAATAATATCATCAGTATTATACATGTTGCTGCTCTAATACACTATTTGTGTTCAGTGATGTCTCACAAGTGCAACAGCACCCACCGTGTTCATGTTTTATGGTGTTTTTAAAAGTTACAGGGCCACTAAATAGAAGGCTTGCCCATTTAATTTGTTTCACATTGAAATTTGCCAGATTGGTTATGTTGCCTTTGAGACTATATGGTAGCACATGAATGAGAATTACTCTCATGTTTGCAAAAGTAAACAATCCAAGGTATTGCAATGGGGTATACCCGATCTGTATTAGTAGCCACTTAGTCACAAACACTGGGCAAAGTTAGCCATTATATTAGTTTTTTTGCATTTTAAAAACAAAACTGGCAAATTCATTGATAATATTATCATGATACATTTTAATGTTTTAAAACACTCATATTTGTGTTCAGCAAAGTCTCCCAAGTACAACAGTACCACAAACACTTGCCAAAGTTAATGGTCATATTGTTTTTTGCATTTTTCACACACAAATGGCACTTTCACTGATGATATCACTGTTGTGATATGTTTTACTGTATTGAAACATTACTATTTGTGTTCAGCAAAGTCTTCCCAGTATAACAGTACCCAGCATGTACTGGTTTTATGGTTTCTTGGACACCATAATTATGAATGCCAAGGGACTGGGATGGATCACTTGCCATAAGTCTATGAAACTCTGAATCATACTCTCTCCACACCTCCTCTCTAAAATGGTGACCGATATAATCTATTATCGCCATATATTTTAGAATGAGGATGGCTTCTTCTCGGTGCTTCTCTAAAAAACAGGAAGACAGAACCCTAAAGCAGCACTGCCAGTCCTCGAGTGAGGGACACTTAGGGCTAGACCCATTGTCAACCCTCTCCTCAAGCTTGTAGCCTTCTGCAGACAGGCAGAAAATGGGGACATATTTACACTGCAAATTGTTTTCTTTAAATTTAGATTTTAAATGCAAGTGTAAAGAGTATATAGAACAGGGATATGAATCCTCTTGGATGTGCGTTGCAAGGCTTGAAGAGCCTATGGAAGAGGAAGGGGAGGGCTGAGGAAATGGAGGCAGAGATGAACTGACCCTGCACTAGCAACAGCTTTTTCAGCATGGAGAACCTAAGTTTGTGTCCCCTAGTGGATCACCCCAATGACCCTTCATCCTGCAATCCAGTGACATCAGATGAAAAGGAGAGTGTGGATCAAGTAACTAGGGGAGGTAAAGACTCACATACAGTCCTGGAGGGCTCTGATTCCTGATCCTGCTGAGTGTAAGACTGCCAGATGCTACATGTAAACACTTGGAGATGCCAATGTGGACAATTGAATCGCTGGAACCAGACTTGAAGATTGTTGTATATTTCCGCTAACAGTAGGCTGCTGCAAGCTTCCCAAAATTCCTGTAAAACAGAAGAAAAATGGGAACACCAAGAGCATTGGTCAAGGGAAAGCTTGGACCAGCAGATGCAGAAGCAAGGACACAATCAGTATTAAGTGGCAGAGGATGATTTTGCCACCCCAGTCACCTATTAACTCCCTTCTTGGCTCCCAACCTATCTCTTGAAGTATCACTTCTGGCACTCACAACAGCACCATGATGGGCCTCAACTGGAGTACCATGTGGTACTGCAGAAGCCCTCAGAAGCTCTCTGGGAGCACGAAAAGTAGCATGAGAAAGATGGTGGATGACCTGGGCCTCACGATTGGAAACCATTGCAGGTCAAAAGAAGCAAGATGTCTGACCGAGGTCTGATATGAAAGGGGGGGGGAGTAGTGAACGGGTCATATAATGATTATCCATGGCTGCCTGAGCCAAGGCAGCCAGGGCTGAAATAGTAAGTGGGGAGAATGATGCAAATGTTGCCACAAGTTGTTACAAGGCCTCAGTAGGGGCCAGGTAGGGATCAGGGGAGATGGGGGAGGGGGGGGCAGGAATAGACAGAGCTGGAAGACCAGGAGAAATGAAGATGAAGCTGAACAGAGGTAGAAGGAAGGGAAAAAACAGAAAGGAAACATCAAAAACAGGTGTAGTGGGAATACTTATAGGTATGGAGATATTAAATAGGTAGGGGACACTCTTCAATTCTCACCTCTGGTTCAACCACTGCAGATCCATAAGATGACACTGGACAATAATCTATGAATCTTTTAGGGGGCCTCACAACTGTCCAGTCCATGATAAAGAAGATTCGGCACACAAGATCAGGATTAGGAGAGCAGGAATCAAGAATTAAGACAGGAAGAAGAGGCCAAATAAAGGTAAGTAGGAGGTCCCTCCCATGCACTAACAATGTATCTATTCCATTACTGCCCAAGAAGAAGCCCCCTGAATGCTACTTTATGCCCACTAGGGGGCCATACACTCCCATTATGTGTGCATCAAAGAGTTGAATATAAGGCTTCATCTCTAAATGCTTTTCCTACTGTTTTCATTCAGGCAAATACACCCAGCAGAGTAAGTGATGTGATTTGTATCACTGGCCAGTCCAATTTTACCCCAATCACCAGTTCAAGGCCTCCAGGAGAAAGACACTAGGATCAAACTTAGAACATATCCAATGAACTGGCATGGAAAAATGGAGAAGGCTAGTCTACAAAAAGGAGAATATAATTCCAAGTTACAGTTAGCTAGTGACAGAGGCAGATATCTTCAGTTTCAGGGGAAGCAGGATACAACAGCAACACACAAAGGCAGTGGCACTATGAGGTACTGTACCAGACTGAAGAGATCAGAAAACTAGGGGTTATACATGCTGACAACAGCTCAACAATAGTTTAACATTCAATGGAGGGACAATAGCAGGGACTACATGCACTATAACCAATTCAATGGCATTAATGGTTATAATACTCACTGTGTAATATAACTGACAGATGTCTTGTAAAGTTTATATCAACCTCCAAAAGCATTACAAAAATGTATGGACCTATCTATCTATCGCAATCTATCTATCTGTCTATAACATTATCCTTTACTGATATAATTTCTTTTTTTGCTTTCATGTATCTATGATCCAGTCAAAAAATTTCAAAATTCCATTTGATTGGAGGGATTTAGATACACAAGTGAAATTTTCTATTGACTCCACTAACCTTTTCAAACATAATTTAAAAAAATCTCCGGTCACAGTTACAGCTGGGACCTTTATAATGGCAAAATGAGAAAATTATTAGCTGGGCATAATTGCTTCTGTTTTTTTCTTGTATGGATATTTTTAACACTTTAACCTTATTGCTTCCTCTTGAGTTCCCAAGTTCTTAAGTGACATTCAGACAACAGATCTATTTTGAAGCAAAAAGCAGCTAGATTTGCATTTAACATTTGCAATAAAAATGAAAGTATAATTTTTATGGTCAGAACATTTTAATGTATAATGACTTGTAACTTCTACACAAATATTACAAATATTTTTTTTCCCAGAGGAATACTTTCTAGACGTCTTATCCAACTACACCACATATATAAGGTGATAAGATAAAACTCTTAAAAAAAAAAAACTAGCAGTGTAATTTCTTATGAAACATTCAAACTAGCCTCATGTTAAGAGTAGAGATGTCGCGAACCGTCCGCGAACTTCTCGCGAACGGTTCGCCGCGGTTCGCCACGAGCTGACACGTCCCGGCCAATCTCCAGCAGACCCTCCCTCCCAGACCCTCCTACTTCCTGGACAGCATCCATGTTGAAAGTAGTTGAAACATGGATGCTGTCCAGGAAGTAGGAGGGTCTGGGAGGGAGGGTCTGCTGGAGATTGGCCGGGACGTGTCAGCTGACCGGAGTTCGCCGTGAACAGCTCGCGGCGAACCGTTCGCAAGAAGTTCGCGGACGGTTCGCGACATCTCTAGTTAAGAGTAACATACAAAACTATAATCACTAAAAGCAAATAAAAGCAAACCTACTGATGAGTGTGCCCTCCATAACACCAAAAAAATAGTAAACCATACAGATGAGTAGAAATGCAAAGGTTACACCTCCCAAAATATAAATGAAAAATAAATACAACCTTGATCAGAGAATAGAGATCGTGGTCTGTGTTATCTAGTAAAAACAGAAACTCAACATAGTGTGATCAGTACGTTAAGGGAATAGATACGCAATATATTGAGGAAAACTTACAAGAAGATGGAAAATGTCAGGCACATCACCCTAAGCCAAATTTGGAGTGTGAAGTCTTCATAAAATAGTAATCTTCTTACACTTGAAAAAAAAAAAAAATAGTGCAGATGAAAGTAATTAGTAATTATATAAGTATATATTATGACACATAAAATTGTATATCCTCCACTGAATAGAATTTGGCATCAGATTGTTCTGAAACTAGAAATAAAAATTAGAATACATACAAATGGAAAAATATATATATGCTACTAGAACATGCAAAATAGTGAATGGAAAAAGGAAAAAGGCAGTGGAGGACGTGGAACAAACAGCCCCAAACCTGGAGGACGGCACCACAAAAAACAGTCCCTCATGGATCAATCTCTGGGTTTTGATACTATTATTTGATTCTCTAAAAAATATATATATTAGGCCCTGTCTAAGGGCCTGACGATTTTAGATCCATTGAGCTTCCTTTTCGTTCAGCTCCATGGACCTATTTCCTCCTCTCCAATTCTTTTCCACTGTGTCTATTCCAATAGCAAAAAAATGATTCCACGTAAAATGTGGAAATGCATTACAGTGTTTAGGGACACTATGTTCTGTTTTGTTATTTCTAATATTGTAAAAGTGGTATTTAATTTGCGTGTGGTGCGGCCAACATATTGGGCTCCACATTGTAAAAAATATATGTCAAATGTCATAGAACATTGGATGAATTTCTTAATGTCATATTTTTTATTTGTGTATGTACCTTCAAAACTGTATGTTTTTCTTTTCTGGAATTTACATGTCGCACTTCCCACAACTGAAAAAAAACCTTGTGAATTAAAAAAGCTTAAATGTCTGTTCGTTGTTAAGTAATAAACTTGGAGCTAGTTGGCTTTTCAGGTTGTCTGCTCTTTTATAAAAGACAGTGGGGCGGTATGTCATCTTTCTTCAATATATGTCAATGTCTCCTTAGAATATGTTCTATTCTTTTTGCCTGCAAGTTAAATTTTGTTATGAAAGCATATTCAAATTTTTTGTTTTTATCCTGACTATTTTGTTTTGTTCCAATGTTAGTTAATAAAGATTGTCTCTCTAAACGTTTAACGTTCTCTTCATCTCTACTCATCTTAATCGGATCCTATCCTTTATCATGATATTTTTTTTTTTTTTAATAATCACTGCTTGCTCTTCAAAGACTTTTTTGGTCTGAGCAGTTTCGTTTGAGGTGCATCATTTATCCCTTAGGGACGTTTGTGAGTCATAGACCATGGCGTAAACTATTCCTATCAATGACCGTATAGCAGTCTGTGCTTTTAAAGAATGTTTTACTTTTGATTTGTTCTTCCTCTACATATAAAGTCAGATCTAAGAAATTAATTTAATTTGTTTTGCAGCTATTTGGTGTTGCCATGGGGAAAAAATTTGCCTCCAGCTTTGCCAACCTATATGTGTCTCATTGGGAGACTTTGAGTGTAACTGAAGGAGAGGTGGCTGGGGGCGGTCTTGTTCTATGGCGACGCTACATTGATAATGTCATAATTCTATGGGAAGGACAATCTGATGGCCTTATTTCATTTATTGAAAAGATTTATTGCAATGAATATAATTTACATTTTACATCAGTGATACATGCCACACAAATTTATTTCTTAGGTGCCATCCTCTGGGATTATGGCTGTTAGTTCCATGTTCTGCACTACCTTTTTCTTTTTTCCATTCACTGTTTTGTATGTTCTAGTAGCATATATATATTTTTCCATTTGTATGTCTTCTAATTTTTATTTCTAGTTTCAGAACAATCCGATGCCAAATTGTATTCAGGGGAGAATATACAATTTTATGTATCATAATATATACTTATATAATACCATCTGTTCTATATGAATGTATAGGGTCCTTCATTATTACTGTTATATAAATGTACAGGGTACTTTATTATGACTTGGACATTTTTATTACATATGTGTTTTTTATTATACATATATTTTTTCAATTTTCTTTACATATTTTTCTTACATTTTTCATTTTCAAAATAAATATGTATATATATTACCCCCATTTATCATTATTGATCTCATGGTTTTTTGTTTTTTATTCATGGTTTGATTTTCATTATGTCTCCAGATCATTATAAGGTATTCTATCTGCTTCTGTATTTTGGTCCAGCTTGAAACGCACTCTGTGTGAAGCCGAAAAACAGGAACCGGAAATTACATAGAAGAATACCCGTAAATCACATACGTTCCAGCGTGAGACGCACACGATGCAGTAAGACTCCAGGTTATGAACGTCTCCTTCATTAAAGCAGGCTATTTAAATGAAGATGGTAAGGACAAGATTAATATCCCTGAGGAAGCCCACAGGACGAAACGCGTAGGATTTGAACATTGGGGACTGTATCTATGTGTTTACCAGGTCCACTAGGAAGTGGAGAGATGCCCTTTTAACCTTTTTATCTTGTAAGTGCATTTGTAATACATTCTTTGTCTCTTTACTTCCATCTGCACTATTTTCTGTTTTTTGTTGCTTTTCTAGTGTAAGAAGATTACTATTTTATGAAGACGTCACACTCCAAATTTAGCTTAGGATGATGTGCCTGACATTTTCCATCCTCTTGTGAGTTTTCCTCAATATATTGCGTGTCTATTGCCTTTATCTACTGATCACACGATGCTGAGTCCGTGTTTTTACTGGACACCACAGATCACGATCTCTATTCTCTGATCAAGGTTGTATTTATTTTTCATTTATAATTTGGGAGGAGTTGCTGCCATCCTTTACATTCCTACTCATCTGTATGGTTAGCCTCATGTTAAATCTTACTTTCCAGCTCTGGTGCTTTACAAAGGGACCTTCTAATATGAGACCATAAAAATAGAAATAGGAGATGCTGCATCTTTAATCATAGACACATAGAAGGATACCTGAGTATGAGCCAATCATTTGAAAACAAAAGCAAACTATTTTATAGATTACACAGTCACAATAAGCTAATCAATGTTTCCAACAAGTTCTGCTGACTTTTGAAAAGGGTGTTTATTTTCTACACAAATGTGTTGTTATTGGAAAAAATGGCAATGTCTATGCATTTCAGCATAGGTTCTCTTTTGTACTCCATGCACGTCACTTCTGTCTAATTTCCCATCTCTAGTATACAGCATCCGACGTCATTGCTGTACACATAAACCAAGTAGAATCTAACAAAATCTTTATGATAATGAAAATGGAAGTTTCTGCTTGATTATATACCTTTGGAAAAACTGGAATACAATCAAAATCTCTTTCTTAGACATTGAAATGAAAATCATTGTTTCACTGTTAGACAATGAGGTGACATAATTTTTATGGGCCATCTCTCTATCATCTACTTAATTTCTACACCTTTCTCCTTTCCTTTCTGACCACATCTCTTTATGCTACTTTAAAGGAAGTTTATATTGAATCTGTTATATTTTGGTTATAAAGGGATACATATGGTCAAGGTCAGAATCTATGCTTAGCTTCTGCATGCTATTCAAATGATACACAGAGGCTAATAAAATGATTATGGAGTGCAAAAAATACATTTTCAAATTCAGTTACACAAAAAAATGAATACATGAAAAGGTTATTCCATGGATCCATGCAGACTCCACATCTGAATATCACAGATGAGGCTGAGATTTTATGAACCAGGCAACATTTTCCCATCCTTCAAATGTGCAATTTAGAATACTGCATATCTACTGTAACAACCTGTCATTGACTGTCAGGATTAGAACCTGATGTGATCTTCAGCTGGTTCTTTTACATAAAGATAATACCTTCTATACACTGGTGTTATAAAAACAAAACTTTGTCAATTCTTTGTCAATTTTATCAAGAGTTTCATCAACAAAACTGTCCCTCACTGGATGTTTAAAGGGATACTATAGGCACCGTGTCCCTTTCCCTTTAATCCAGCAGCTGGAAAAATTTTAGAGTCTATCCACTCTCTAACTAATGCAATGAAGTTGGAAGAGGGGGGGACAAAGTCTGCGTGGAATCAGGTAAGTGTTTAAAGGGCTATTTAAACTTTTGATTCTGAGGTGGAGGGGATGCAGGGGCAGAGGGACACTGTCATTTTAAGAACACAGCTTTGAAAATAGAAGAACGGTGCTTGGTGATATAGACAAGCTCCATAACCTCCATCTTGACAGCAAACAAAAAATTCTTAAGTGACTGTTCTGCAGAAACCTCTCTCTAAGGATGAGAATTTGTTCTGAAAGGCTCAGCACTTCGAAACCAAAATGTGAGTTTTATTATGCATGCTATACCATACTAAATTTAACATTTCTAGAGTAAGGACATTAAGAGATGCTTTGTAAAGGGATAGTTATTACTAGTAAACATACTTTATGGAGTATTTAAATTCCATAATGACTGAAATTGTGTCACGGAATCTATGAGGCATGCATACTTCAATGACTAGTGAAAAATGCTTCTTTTCCTAAAAAGTAACTGACATAGCATTTCTACATTATATTTACTCAAGATATAAAAAGCTAAACTATTTAATTTTTTTACACTTTTATTTTTAGAAAAGTACATGTGAACAAAGATAAACACAGGGACTATTGGAGCTGAGGGCTCCAGACCCACACATTTCTGCTTCATGCTAATATTATCAGTGTATTTATAGTGGGATTGTAAATAGCAGAG